TGGTGTTTGGACCCCCATGGTTGCCACTTGAAATGTTTTTTACAGATTGCTTAGCTCTCATAGTGCGTACAACAGTCCACAGGAATGATTTACATGATTATGATGAACATGATTTACATCAATTTCAGACAAAAAGGTGGCAGGTGTGTTTTCAAACAATGATAATTTACATATTTTAGCCTTTTTTACCATTCTTAAGCTGTTCAAGAGAGATATAATACAACTCTGTTTCCAAAAATGTTGGCACACTGTGCAAAATGTAAATAAAAACAAAATTCAATGATGTACAAATCATTTTAACCCTATATTTCATTGAAAATAGTACAAAGACAACAAATCAAATGTTGAAACTGAGAAATTATATGCTCACTTTGATTTTGATGCCAACAACATGTTCCAAAAAAGTTGGGACGGGGGCCTGTTTACCACTGTGTTTCACCACCTCTTCTTTCAACAGCACTCTGTAAGTGTTTGGGAACTGAGGAGACACTGCTGTAGTTTAGAAAGTGAAATGTTTTCCCATTTTTGCTTAACATAGGATTTCAGCTGCTTGTCAGTTCAGGGTCTCCACATTTTATAATGTGCCAAATGTTTTCAGTGGTGACAGGTCTGGACTGCAGGCAGGTCAGTTTATCACTTGGACCATTTTAATATGGAGCAATGCTGTGGAAATACGTGCAGAATGTGGTTTGACATTGTCTTGCTGAAATAAGCAAGACCTTCCCTGAAAAAGACATCGTCTGGGTGGCAACATATGTTGTCAAACATGCATATATCGTTCAGCATTAATGGTGCCTTCATGGATGATTTCCAAAAAGAGATTCAAATGTTGATTAATCGGACCACAGGACACTTTTCCACTTCCCCTCAGCCTATTTTAAATGAGCTCAGGCCCAGAGAAGGCGGCAGCATTTCTGGATCCTGTTTATGTACAGTTTCTTCTTTGCGTTTTAGAGTTTTAATTAGCATTTGTGGATGCAGTGAGAAACTGTTTTCACAGACAGTGTTTTTCAGAAGTGTTTCTGAGCCCATGCAGTGATTTCCACTACAGAATCATGTCTGGTTTTAATGAGGTGCCATCTGAAGGCCCAAAGATCACGGCCAGCAAATACTGGTTTTTGGCCTTGTCCCTTGCATTCAGAGATTTCTCCAGATTCTCTGAATCTTTTAATGTTATTATGTACCGAAGAGGATGAAAAGCAAAAGTTTTTTGCTATTTTACGTTGAGAAACGTTATTCTTGAATTGTTGCACTATTTGATCTTGCAGTCTTTCACAGAGTGGTGAACCCCTCCTCATCTTTACTTCTGAAAGCCTCTCTGAGATGCTTTTTTATACCCAATCATGTTAGAGACCTGTTGCCAATTATCCACCAGGTATGTTTTTAGCATTACACAACTTTACCAGTCCTTTTTTGCCCCCGTCCCAACTTTTTTGGAATGTGTTGCTGGCATCAAATTCAAAATGGGCAAATATTTTTCAAAACACAGTAAAATTTCTCAGTTTCAACATTTGATATGTTGCCTTTGAAGCATTTCCAATGAAATATAGGGTTTAACTGATTTGCACATCGTTGCATTTTTTTTTCATTTACATTTTTTTACATTATCCTGAGTTTTTTGGAAATGGGGTTGTATATGTGAAAAAAATTGACTGCTCAAGAAACTTCTGTTCCAAGGTTTCATTTATCAGTACTATTAAGACACTAATTTTCAGTAACTGTAGCTAAGTTAATATTATCCAGCAGTACTCATTAAACTCTTATCTACACCATTAAAGTTAATGGCATATTCACCATTCAAAACCACATATTTCACTGAAAGGTTTGTATATCAACCAACATGCTTGGACTGGTGAGTGACTGGAGGGGGACACTTAAGGGGCCAATCAGATTTCTTCCGGGGCCAGTGTTCTATTACCCTGATTAATGGGTGTCTCCAGTGAACTCATACTGGCAAAAGAATTCTGAGGGACTTACTGGATAAAACACAAGTTGTCTGTGAAATAATGTCCTTGCACAGCCCCTTTTAGAGGAAATGCACTTGAGCAGCACTACAGTGGTGTTACCTAAGCCATGTATGCCATTCTCTGGTGTTACAATGGATTGCAGTGCATTATTTAGAAGCATTGGTCCACCGGTTTGAATAATACATCGACCTGAATGAACTCTCTCTTTAGTGGGGTTTTCAAAAAAAAAAGTGATCAAAAATGTATGATTAATTCAGATTAATTCCTTCTTTAAAATGCTGCAGAGAGCATAAGAACAGGGCACTTTCAGTTTCTGTGTGCTCTTTTATTCTAGCCACTTCATTGCTCATGCAAGACTGCAAGACTTGCTTATGCACATACGATCATGTGTTTCCTGTAATAAATGATTTCCTGCAGAATTGAAAACACAGCAATCAACAAAGCAGAAGTTTTTTGATGTTATTTTTTTTAAAGGATGCCTGAAAAAGTTGCTTGGAGCTACTACTGTTCCTGAAGTACTGAATGGTTGGATTAATGGTTGCTTTCCTGTAATTATTACAAAAGTTTGGGCACCCCTGGTCAAATTAAAAGTTTTGTTGATGTTTTAAGTGAAAATAAGTTAACATGTCCTCTACAGAGAACACACTTCTGCACATTTTATTGCAGTATTACTGTTTGTTACATGTTGCCTGTGCAAAAGTTATGGTGCATTTTATATAAACATTTTTCAGTTTTTGGTATAATTCAAAAAAAGGCCTGTTGCCCTTTACGTTTTATATAAATGTCATGATAAATAGATAAAAAAAAAAAACGGCCAAAAATGACTTGGAAAAACTTCTGGTTCCATTGACTTACATTAAAAGTAAAGTAGTTTTTTTTTTCCTTCTCCTGTAAAATTGTCATTTTGGAGATTATATACATATATGCAACCCCATTTCCAAAAGAGTTGGGATGCTGTGCAAAATGAAAATAATAAAAAAAAAAGCAATCATGTGCAAAACATTTAAACCCTATATTTAATTGAAAATAGTACAAAGACAACAAGTGTTGAAACTGAGAAATTTAATTGTTTTCTATATAGTTTTGTTTTTTTTCTGAAAACAATAAAGTTTCTCAGTTTCAACATTTGTATATATATGTGCAGTATGTTCAACACAACGAATAAATAAAAGTTGTGCACTAAAATTTACTGGGAAATGCCATTTTTAAGTGTGTTTCCTGTGGAAGATTTAAATATGAATATGAACCAAATATGACCTTGGATTTGAACTAACAAAGTAAAAAAAAGGTCAATTTTGATTTCAGATTGACTTTAATTATTACATATTTATATATTTCACACTCAGTACCTACTGTAAATAAAAAAGGGCTATCAGCTCATTACTAGACAGGTAACAGAATCTCTATCTAATTGGCACCAGTGCTTTAAATTGGTTGTAGAAACCCTGACGACACTATGTAGAACTCAATGCAGCCCAAAAAAAAGGAAGAAAAAGGAAAAAAAAAATGCTCAAAATCCATCCTAAAAATTGCCACTCAGTAATTAACGCATGGATGTGTTTTGAGTCACCATATGCCTTTTTGAGAAGCTGCTCAAAACCTGGGTCTGCCGCTTGCTCCGCCTGGCAGTTGTTTTTCTAAATATGTCCCTCCGTGTCCTTGCCAGTGCGTAGCGCTCTATAATTCCGCCAGTGAGCAGAGGCCAGAGCTGGAGCAGACAAGTGCTTTAGGTTAGGCTGGCATACAACACACAATCATACACACACAGACAGACGCACACACACATACACACACACACACAGGGAGTGATCCTGGGTGACAGGATCTGATTTAATCAGATATCGTCAATAATTTCAGTTAACCCTTTTCTTGCCATATGAAGACTAAAGCAGAGAGCTAATAGCAGGTGTTACAGTGATCCAGCTGTGTTTTTGTGCTGTATTTCTGGGTTGTGGGATGTTAAAGCTGGTTTTTCTCACTCTGGCTAGTGATGGCAGGTTCCTCTGAGTGATCTGATGTGTGAATCATGTCACTGTTTTAACCCTTTGTTGGAATACGAAGGCCAAAAAACAGAGCAATAATATCAGGATTTTGGGTGATTTTCTGAGCCAAATTACTCACTGATGCTGATGTCACAGCTAGATGATGTCACACTAGTTAGGGTCGGGTCTGCTGAATGTCCTGATATGTGTATCATGTCTGTAGCTTAAACCGTTCTGAAGTTATAAAGGCTAGAAGTGACCTACCGTTGTTCCTCAGAGCTCTTACCATATTAACTAAGACACTGTTGGCTCTCTGTGTGTAAAAAGTTGTGACTCTGTGTTGGGCTGCTAGTGAGCAATGAGGGGCTAAAGGGGAGCAGTGCAAACCCCCTGCTGAGAGCCCTCCTGTGAAAACAACTCACTTCTCTCCACGAAGATGGCCATGCTGAGATACATCAGACATCACGACTGCAGACTTTCTTCATTTTAAAGAACTGTACAACGTTATGTTCAACTGCACAAAAATAGCATTAAAACACAACAGAAACACTTTTATAAATTTTCATGTGCTTACTGGTTTAATGTAAATCATAAATCGTACAGATTTCTATTGAAATATATTCCATCCAACATTACTGACGAATGCATAGTTCATTTGAGAGGGACCTCATCCAAAACAAGCAGAATTGGCATTTTGTGCTTAGTGTGGAAAAAAAAAAAAGTGTTAAGGGTTAAATAAATAAATAAATAAATAAAATTGGTTACAATGTTTTCATGTGAGAGAGACGATATGCTGCATTTTTGGGGTTTTCTGCTCGACACAAATACACACAATCCAGCGAACATACGCCAAATTCATTTGAAGGGCACGGCCATTTCCAGAGACAATACGCCTTCTCCAGATTAACTCCACTCGCTGTTCCAGCAGGCAATCGCATCGAGGCTTTGGCAGCTGAAGGCCACCAGGTCATGGTGCAGGCATTGTGCTGAGGATCAGCACTTTGAAGCGAATGTTCTGGAGGATTTAACACTTCCTTGTTTCTCTCCACAGCGTGAAAGACTTCGGAACATTGAGCGGATATGCTGCCTTCTCCGAAAGGTAAGAAGCATTTGGTTTTACACAAAGCCCCAATTCGCCCTGATCCCTTAACAGTCCGCTCCCAGTTGTGTCAGGTAATAATGGACTTATCCACTAAGATGTGGAATAAATTTGACCGGAACCAGGATTTGGGATCTCATAGGGTATATTGTGAATTAAAAAAAAGGAAGTTTTCTTGAACTTTGATTCATGATAGAGAAGCACAGTGTTCAATTTATTTTAAGCAGAGATGAGGAGTCGAGATAGAGACTCGCGCTTGAGTTGCATGATGTGTGACGCAACATGGATTCTGCTGGCCTAGAATAATTACTGAGAACCACACAGTAAATGAACAAAACTTAGATGATGACCATATAGAATGGATTAGTTTAAGGGTAATGTAATTATTTCAGGTGTTTCTGAATGATTTTAGTCCCATATGAATCAGCCATGTCAAGAGTTTTTGCCTCTTCCACATCAGTACAGCTTCCAGAGGTTTTACAGTCTATAAAACATAATGTTGGTAAATATTCCATGATATCTTGTGGAAAAGAACTTCTGGCAACACTTTCTATGAATGTCATCTTTGTAAGCATCTATAATCACATTTATAACATGTTATAATGTATTCATAAGGCATTATAAACATGGTTATAAATATAAAGAATTACACTGAATTACACTTTATAGCCATGTTTATTTTACATTATGAATTGTTAATATAATGCATTATAAATAGTGTTAATAACATGCTATAATGTCAGTGCCAAAGAAGTCAGTCCCAGCTTGGAGAGCGTAAAGTAAAGACAAATACCAAGCTAACGGTGGTGTACATTACCTTTCCCACATTGGGTAAAACACTGATGGCAGCTCTAGTTTAAACTCTGACATTTGAAGCCTGTAATGTGCTTTACTGTGAATGTTTTAGTGTTTCAGTAAATCCTTCAGTAAATACTTCAACTTGAAGCCTCACTCTGAACACTGGAGGAGGCTTTAGTACAGTACGCTTCACTTTACTTAGAGCAGACAAATACGACTTATGAGCTCTTATAATTTGTTATGATCAGTACTTATAATGTATTATGTTAATTCATAATGCATAATAAACATGGCTATAATGTATAATGCCTTTTTATAAATATTTATAACTATGTTTATAATGTCTTATGAATGCATTATAACACGTTATGGATGTGTTTATAGATGCTTACAAAGGTGACATTCATAAAGTGTTACCGAACTTTTTTCCTTAAGTATGGAGCCACTCCAAGAAGCATTTACTTGTATTCTCTGCCCAAATCAAGCTGATGTGCATTGTCCTACCTCTTGTGATAACCTTTAACATTAAAACAACATTAAAACACAAAACATGCTAGAAAAAGGTTTGATTTTATGTGGTGATGTTGACTGTTGGCCGTAGACAGACCTCCAAAGATGTATCGTTCTTCTGTATTCAGCATCATGCCCATATTAGGAACTCAGTCAGGGTGTTTTGAAACACCATTGATGCTGTGGAGCCCTGTGGTCAACAAAAATGCTCCAAAGTCAACATTTTTGTCCTACATACAATTCCCCCTCAAGTGCCTCTGAATTATGAGGTTGTTTAGCAGTCAAAATGCAAATAATGCTACATCCATGCTACAAGCAAGCTAACGCTCATTCACTGAAATGACGATATGTGAAGGAAAAACTGCTGTTAAGCTTCAACACTGTTGTATAACAACACCAGCTACTCCTAACATACTCTACTACTGCCAAAGCAGCTTAACTAGCACATTTGACAAAGCTTACTGGTTTGCGTGGATCATTTTGGTGAGGTTGCCAGTCAAATGACGCTAAATCAGTGTGCAGCGTGTGCTTGCATGTGGCAATAGCTGTATTCCAGCTCCTTATAAACTGCATAATTCAGTGGATTCAGTGACATTTAGAGGGAAAATGTCCATACAACACTATTTATTTTTCTCAGAAAGAAAAAATTAGACCTGGAGCTCCTAATATGGGCGTGACGCCGACAATGGAAGGTCTATTCCCAAACTAATGGCAAAGCTAATGACACATTGCATTCACTTGTAGGTGGCAAAGTTAGGTAGATGGTTAGATATGCTTACAAAAGCTTTGGCTACAAAATCTGGTGGACATAACTGAAATTAATGAAACAAGTGCCACATTAAAATAAAGAAAACCTTCAAATAGGTTGGTTTGCCTGTAGTTTGAACAGCAGCTGCTTTAAGTAAGTAAGTAACCTCTTAATCATTGTAACAAATAAATGCCTAAAGCTATTTTTGACTTCACAACGAAAGACTCGACTGGACTCGGACCTGCAAAAGTGACTTGTGAACATGCTTGTCACTAAGCAGCACTGCCTGAACAGTGCCTACATCAGCAGAAGGTGTCTGAACCCCTTCATATGACAAATATGTCATGTTATATGAAGATCAGCCAGAGTCCAGGCTGTCAGATGTTTATGAGTAGCAGGGAAGCTTCACAGAGTCACCTGACTGCAAATCAGCAGAGTGTAAAAAGGGCATCCAGACATAAGAGCTTAGCAGCCTGGTGTCATATTTGCAGAAGTAGCACCTCTTATCTGCAGCATTTCAGCTCCACAATAAATAACACTTCTTAACCTGTTAATGCAGAACCTGACAGACCACCAAAACTGGCACCATCAAATACACAGTACTTGAAGGTGTCGTCTTAGAGAGAGAGGAGAAGAACGAGCTGCTTCAGATCTGAAACAATCAAAAGGTCTTTCTGTCCATCCTTCCACTGTGAGACAGCTCAACGCTATGAGTCTGAAAGGATGTCAAGAAGCCGTTTCTGAGAAAAGGAAATCTGCAAATCAAACTGGACTGTCCTATGACCACCTCCTTGTTTCTACGCTCATTGTCCATTTTATCAGCTCCACTTACTATATAGGTGCACTTTGTAGTTCTACAGTTACAGACTGTAGTCCATCTGTTTCTCTGATACTTTGTTAGCCCCCCTTTTACCCTGTTCTTCAGTGGTCAGGACCCCCATGGACCCTCACAGAGCAGGTACTATTTGGGTGGTGGATCATTCTCAGCACTGCAGTAACACTGACATGGTGGTGGTGTGTCAGTGTGTGTTGTGCTGGTACGAGTGGATCAGACACAGCAGTGCTGCTGGAGTTTTTAAACACTGTGTCCACTCACTGTCCACTCTATTAGACACTCCTACCTTGTCAGTCCACCTTGTAGATGTAAAGTCAGAGACGATAGCTCATCTGCTGCTGCACAGTTTGTGTTGTCATCCTCTGGTCTTTCATCAGTGGTCACAGGACGCTGCCCACAGGACACTGTTGACTGGATATTTTTGGTTGGTGGACTATTCTCAGTCCAGCAGTGACACTGAGGTGTTTAAAAACTCTAGCAGCACTGCTGTGTCTGATCCACTCAGACCAGCGCAACACACACTAACACACCACCACCACGTCAGTGTTACTGCAGTGCTGAGAATGATCCACCACCCAAATAGTACCAGCTCTGTGAGGGTCCATGGGGGTCCTGACCACTGAAGAACAGGGTAAAAGGGGGGCTAACAAAGTATCAGAGAAACAGATGGACTACAGTCTGTAACTGTAGAACTACAAAGTGCACCTATATAGTAAGTGGAGCTGATAAAGTGGACAATGAGCGTAGAAACATAATGTTATGCCTGATCGGTGTATGACTGTGTACTGTATTATGTTACAAACCATCATTTTGAGCAAGCAAACAAATGCATGCATCATGCATTACTCTGATAAAACAGTAAATAAAAACACAGCTTATATTCTGAATGAGTTCACTGCTGCAGTGCATCCAACAAGAGAGGCAGAAAGGCAGCACGGTGCTTCCTTTATATAGTGATAGAAAAACACAGTAGCACACAAGAAGCTCCAGTTCTACATCCTGATACATTTTACTGCCAAACAAGTGTCCCAACTACTCTGGCAGCAGACTACAGTATGTGTAAGAGGACATCACCAATATATCGAGTCGTTAGGTAAGACAGGGTTAACTCAGATATACAAACACCCATCTAGTGTAATTTGTGGTAAAGTCACTGATCAGAGAAAAGTTAAGACGAGCTTTCATAAGAAAACATGAAGAGGCCAGCAATTGTCCTATATACAGTTCTCTCTCAGGTGCCTCTGAATTATGAGGTTGTTTAGCAGTCAAAATATGAATAAAGTTGCATCCATACTACAAGCAAGCTAACGCTCATTCACTGAAATGATGATTCGTGAAGGAAAAACTACTACTAAACTTCAACACTGTTTTATAGGGAGATTCACTCGAAAGAGGCCCCAAATATTCTGTTCTAATTTCCGTTAGGATGAAGCAATCTGAACCAAAAAAATGCGCTACATACCTTGACGTATGTGTAATTGATTGCATTACATGTGAATTTCTGAAAACTCCATTTATTTTTCTCAGAAAGAAAAACTGCTTAGACCTGGAGTTCCTAATATGGGCCTAATATTTCTTCTGCAACTATGTTATGTTTTATATCAGCCATGTCAGATGACAGCCAAGTTGGATTTAATACTGTGGATTGAATTTGTTGTCTAATATTTTCGATTTTATTATTAAAAAAGTCCATAAAAACTTCACTGGTGAGAGTCGCCGGAATTTGTGGTTCATTGCCTGCCTGATTTTTTGTAATTCTGGAAATCTCACTAAACAGTATTCTAGGATTATATTTATTATTCTCGATCAGCGAGGCCAGATATGCTGAGCGAGCTTTAGTGAGAGCATTTCTATACTCTATAAGGCTTTCCTTCCAGGCCAAGTGGAACACTTCCCGCTTGGTTGATCTCCGTTTCCGCTCTAGTTTCCGTACTGTTTGTTTTAAGGTACGGGTTTTATCATCGTACCACGGTGCGAGATTTCTTTGTCTTATCCCTTTGAATTTAAATGGCGCCACATTTTCTAAAGTAGATCGAAAGGTATTGTCTAAATAGTCGGTTAGTACATCTAGCTCCATTGGGTCTGATGGAGTGGAGACCACAGTTGTTA